TGTAATTACGCAGTTAACCTGCTTAAAAAAACAGGTAGTGTGGCTTACAAACCCTTTTGAACTAAAATTATATGGTGATATAGCACATACTGTACTAAGAATAGTTCATCACAAAGGACAATTTACATTTCAGGTGATGGCATAAGGAATAATATTAATAAAAAAAGACTCTTGCAGTACTTTAAATCATCAAATTCGTTCCAAAATTATTCTGTTGAGATGTTTACCAGCATAGCACAGATGGAAGCTTTATTGTCTGAGGAGATGGCGCACAGGTTAACATGGGGGCAATATGTCAATTGGAATGGTGGTCAGGGCAAAAGCATTGCTTGTGATATGGCTCAAGAAATCTGCAATAGAGTGAGCAAGAATGTTGTGAGAGGGATGGGAGCAAACAAGACAACAAAGGCTATGGTTAGGGCATCAAAGGCAGCTGCAGGAGTACATCAGATTGTGAAGGGAATAGACGATGCACTGAAGGTACATGAAGTATCAAAGGTGCATAGCAAAAGATGTTCAAATGAAGATGACATGTCAATGTTACAAGATTTAAGGAAGTTAAGACCTTTTGAGAGAACATCCGGTAGACACCACATGCATTTCCAAGAAATTAGTGTGTCACCAACAAGCAGTTTGAACATGAGAGATTTCTTTGCCTGGCTAGAACGGCATAAGAAACAGATAGGAATGGGATTAAAGTAATTATTAACTATAAACTTGATAACTTGCATATATATATATATATATATATATATATATATATATATATATATATATATATATATATATATATATATATATATATATATATATATATATAACTACAGACGGTACCGTTTCGGCCTTATGGGCCTCATCAGTGTAGTGCTGATGAGCAGGATGAAAGTAACTGCTATTTACAGTTACCTTTGATGCCTCACGATTGTGGGACATCAAAACCATGCCAGAGCGCTCAAACTGCAAGCAGTGAGCTTGCGCAATGCGTAAGCGGCATGGCTCATCCTGTAGAGCGCTCAATATGACCTAAAGGCCATAGAGCGATATCTAACTACAGACGGTACCGTTTCGGCCTTATGGGTCTCATCAGTGTAGTGCTGATGAGCAGGATGAAAGTAACTGCTATTTACAGTTACCTTTGATGCCTCACGATTGTGGGACATCAAAGGTAACTGTAACTATATATATATATATATATATATATATATATATATATATATATATATATATATATATATATATATATATATATATATATATATATATATATATATATATATATATATATATATATAATTAACCCTTTAAGCTGCAGAGTGCACTGGGGTGCATGGTGGCTCAATGGGTGGCCCATTAAGCTGTAAAGTTTCCCCATTGACAAGTACAGGGCTCAAAATAGCGGGCTGCCAATGGCCAAAAGCAGGCCATATGTTAGCAATGGAAGGACAAAACAAATTTGAACTGTCAAATGAAATTCTATACATTTCATTTTATTTGCTTACCACAACTCATATATACTTGTCTAGATCATTTAGTTGACTAAATATGTTTATATTTGACATGTAATATTCCAAGTTTATTGTTGAAAATAGACAAGTTTAAAAATACTAAAAATGATTAATTTTTTTGCATTGTGACTGATATGAGATATCGCCATTTTGGCAGTTCAATGAATAAAATGGCAGGCTAAAATTTATTTCACCTGCCAAAAAAATTTAGACTGGCAGACCATATTTTTTCTCTACTTTAATGAGCCCTGGACGAGTAAAATTATCTGGCGTTAGACAATGAAAAAATAAGTAGGGCACACTGTGGCGCATTGCAGCTCAATGGGTTAACCATTAAGTGCCAGCGCTCTCCACTTGACGAGTAAAATCGTCTGGCGTTACGCAGAGTAAAATACTAAAGTAGGGTGCAACAGGGTGCAATGCGACTCAATGGGTTAACTAGACACATGGGCAGATAGACCAGTTAACCCATTAAGGGCCAGCGCTCTCTCCTTGACGTGTAAAATCGTCTGGCGTTAGACAGAGTAAAATACTAAAGTAGGGTGCATCAGGGTGCAATGCGACTCAATGGGTTAATATGGCATAATTATGACAGATCAATACATTCTGATAATAATACTGCGATTTCCAGTTGAGTATGGAATTACGAAAGTTTGTTCGTAGAGTTTGTTCGTTAACTTTTGTCGTTTGAAAACAATGTTTGTGACGTCATTCTATAATGTTACCAGGCGAGCACACAATGTTGTCAAGTAAAAACCGTTAAAAACTATCAATCATTACAAAACGAAATAAGTTTCTATTTATAGTCGTGAACTTGGCAGTATTTTACTTGACAACATTGTCAGCTCGCCTAACAACATTATAAAATGATGTCACAAACATTGTTTTCAAACGACAAAACTTGACGAACAAACTTTCGCAATTCCATACTCAACTGGAGATCGCAGTATTAACTTATTCAGGAATTAATTCACACAAATGATTGTTAAATGTTAAATGTATCGGATAAATGCTGGGCATCAAGAATATATGGATAGTATCCTTCATACAGCATTACAGCTACATTTATAATAATATTCAGGCTATAAATATAAGTTGTTTTATGTACTAGCTATTTAAAAGTGTTTTGTCAGATTTAAACATTAGAGGCAAAGCCAAGTATCTTTAGGTCTGATAATTAAACACGCTCTGTGAATGTTTTAAATTATTCAAAAACGACCGATCTAGTAAGTTCATTGGCGAAGTAATTTTCAAAAAATACATTGTGTAAGTAGAGAAAATCAAAGTTAAAGTTTATGACTTTATGTATATAGGGAAATCTCTATCACATATTCACATATAAAGTATTATGATTTTTCTTTGTGTTTTCCTCATGCATTATTGATTTTTGAATATATATTTATGCAATGTATATTAATATTTAAGGTGAAATACTGCCGAATGAATACAAACCGAATACCTACCTGTTTACAGTAATCAGAGCTGTTTTCGTTTTATAAATACTTCTGTCGACAATCGTTTGAAATGTTGCTTGCATATTTAAATAGATCTCATTCTTTTACAGTTCAACCAAGGTTCTCAGAACTAATCTGAAGACAATTTCATATTTATTCAATAATTCTGGAAGAAATTTAACAGATGTTTTCATTTTAATATTTGTCCGATTCAGTTTTTATTGAAATTGACGAATATAGAGCGATCCGCGATCGCACCCCCCTGTATAGTATTTGCTCCAATATATCACGTGACAAAATAATCCACAATTTGTGGATTATTTCACCAGCCTTTACCAGGGCCTTTGCTGCCCTTCGCATCTTTCTTTAAAAGGCCCTGGGGACAAGGTTGGTCCATTTACCCGTTAATCCGACAACATTTTCGGCAAAAGTCCTTAACGAACAGAGGTCGTTTGTCCATTTGAGACGGATCCCATCATAAACTAGATGACCTTGATTGTTTAACAACTTTATGGAGTTCATATCAATAGTTTCAGGACTAAAATTTTCAAGTTTAGTTGAGGCCATATAATGGCCATATAATGGCCATATAATGGCCATGTATAATACCTATACAAAGTTTTTAATTGAAGAGATATAACTTCTTTGACACTAACCTTCAATGGAAAGCTCATCAAATGATACGTTTAATACTGACTCTTCGAATGTGTCTTCTGAATTCTCCATACTTGCTATAGCGAGCTTAAGAGTGAATGTCAGTAAAAATCGAACATTTGAGATATTTCGCGGCCACGACTGAAAAATCGATTTTGCTCAAATTTTGCCCAGATATACCTTATTATATCGGAAAATGCACCATATATTTTTTTAGGTCTAATGCTTTTTTTACTTTGAGAAAATGCCGTTTTAACACGACAACCCTAAATCGCCATTTTGTCTGGGAAAATATGCCTGATTTTACCGACAAATTTCACGACGACAACCGTTTCTAATAGATCTAAAACCCTAAAATTCTTGTTTTCGGTTATTCAAAGGACCGGGTACGTGACTTACAGGAAATCTGAGTTACTTTTAGGAATAGAAATAATCGTTGTTTTGGAACACACTATCTTACTTCATTTACGATACCCTCTTAACAGAACCGATTTTCACCATGGGATAAAGCTCCAAATCGATCATACTTCAACTTGTAGACACTTTAATAAACAACCGTTCAATTGACGCAAATATATCTTTGGGCAAATAAATACCGCGATAAACGACAGCGCGTTGAAATCGTCCGTTTTTGAAGTCTTGCAAGTCAAACGCTGTTAATTTATACACCGTCGAAGTAAACAATTTAATCAAGTATTTTAAGTATTTTACCTTTTGAGAAGAAGATATATTCTCGAATGGAGACTTTTTGCCTTGCTAAGTCTAAAACTATTCCAAAAATCCCGATATATTTGTAAACTGTAAAATATCATCATATACAGGTATTTTGAGATATAATATTGTTGTCAGTTGCATGATATTAAACTTCAGATCACTGTTCCGCAATATCGTCTACTTTTAATAGCGCAAACGTACAAATCGATGAGCTGTTTAGCGATTATATTTGTTACTAAATTTCCCTAGAACTTGAATTGTTGTTTTGTCCCAGTTTGGTCCATATAATGTACCATTTAGATATCGACTATCGAGTATAAATGTTTACGAATACATAAGTTAATTATTAAGCAGCTGACATCTGTTAATAGCGTGCGTGTGAAATGAACAAATATCCATACAAGGATTTGTTATTTTATTATATATTCCACCACCTCAAACTCAAATTATAGCAAATAGTTTAGAATAATTATTTTAATGTGTGTTCACTTTGATGCACGGTTAAAATAATCAGTAAAATTACTTTATTTTGATACACTATTGTCTATAGATCTTATTATATTCCACAAGTACTAGTACCAAAAATACAGCATTGAGATATGTTAGTCCAGTGCGACACCAGAAATTATTATTGAGCTATTCCATTTAATATCCGTACCCCCCCCCCTGTCGAGGATCCATGGAATTCTTCAGGGGTAACGGGTTTTGAGCTTGGAATTCTTCAGGGGTAAAATGTTTTGAGCTTGGAATTCTTCAGGGGTAAAGGGTTTTGAGGTTGGAATTCTTCAGGGGTAAGGAGCTTTGATTTGAAATTTTTCAGAGCTTGGAATTCTTTAGGGGTAAGGAGCTTTGATTTGAAATTTTTCAGAGCTTGGAATTCTTCAGGGGTAAAGGGTTTTCAGCTTGGAATTCTTCAGGGGTAAAAGGTTTTCAGCTTGGAATTTTTCAGGGGTGAAGGGTTTTGAGCTTGGAATTCTTCAGGGGTAAAGGGTTTTGAGCTTGGAAATCTTCAGGGGTAAAAGGTTTTGAGATTGGAATTCTTCAGGGGTAAAGGGTTTTGAGCTTGGATTTTGGAATTCTTCAGGGGTAAAAGGTTTTGAGCTTGGAATTCTTCAGGGTATAACCATAAAAAACATGTATTCTCGACAGGGGTTGTACGGATATTAAGAGAGCTTGCCTGTAAGAATCACAGAATGTGTGGCAGATATGAAAAACTGAAAGTTCTTCAATTTCCCTCGTTTTAATATATATTGTAGACCTATCCAATCCCACACATTTACTGAAAATTCAGCCATCAAACAAAAAATGAAGGAAAGTTAGATCACTTCAAAAATCGAACCAAAAATGACGCGAAATGTCCAAGAAATTACGCTATATAAAGCAGTCAACATCATGTGCTGTGCTGAGCGCGCATTATAAGTTTTTGCTCTGCTGTTACAATATATGTCTTTAGAATATATGGAACTTTCTCGTGATATCTTTTCTCCATAAATCGAAACTTATTGACTTGGTTATTTTAGATCAAAGAATGGTTGAAATTTCCGGGTTTTCCAAACTAGCCAAAGTACGTCTTGTGAATCGCCTATTTAAATATGGTCCTACTTTCTTTATAAATGTACATATGCATAATTTGTTAGGGATAGGATTTAGTCATTCGACGACGATTTCAGATGTTTGGGATTCTTTAGTGTCTTGGCGAAATTTGATCTTAAACATGTACAATATTAGCGTAATGGGCAATTCCAGCTATAGACTAAATTTTGATTTTGGGCAAGAAAAACAAAATCCATCAGCACAGCTAGAAAGAGCATGATAAAATTAGTAAAATTATAAAGTTTGGTTGCAAAATGTTGGAAAATGAGGAAAATATAGCCCTACGAAAATTGCAAATTTTGTATTAATTTGTCCGCAATAGACCATTTGCGTAACAGACTAAATTTTGATCTAAATAAGTTTAGTGATATTCCAAAGTTTCGTTGCGAAATGTTGTAAAATGCGGAAAATATAGCCTTGCGAAGTTTGCAATTTTCAGTCATTTTAGATTACAAACGGGAAATTGACAGCCTCGAAGGGTTTGGGGCTGTCAATTTCCCGTTTGTAATCTATATTTTCCGCATTTTACAACATTTCGCAACGAAACTTTGGAATATTACTAATTTTGTGATGCTCTTTCAAGCTGTGATGAAATTTTTGTTGAGATCAAAATTTAGCCTATTGCGCAAGTGGTAAATTGCACCACTTTCGGCCCAAATGTGGTATACAAAATTTGCAAATTTCGTATTGCTATTATTTTCCTCATTTTGCAACATTTCGCGGCCAAACTTTGCAATTTTACTAATTTTAACATGCTCTTTCTAGATGGATTTTGTTCTTCTTGCCTAGATCAAAATTTAGTCTATATGATCTATAGCTGGAATTGCCCATTGAGTGGTTCGTATTAACTGGAGCGTGACACTGTGAATATTATTTCTTAATTTTTTTTCAAAACGATTCTGTGTTTCCTGTAGTCGTCACTAAGAACACACGCTTCACTCTTAAATATCGGTCATGCGTTTTTAAATTAACTCAAATTTACACTATGAAAAACACAATCATGCAGATCAACCTCGTTCCCAGGGTCTTTCTTAGAACGGCGCGAGGCGAAGGAAAGACCCTGGTTTCGGCTGGTCACGTGTCACCCAGATTCTGCGTGATAAATTAAAATGACACTATGGGCAGGGTGGGAGAGGAGCGTGTTTGTCGCGTTTGTAACAATATTTGCAATTTTGTGTGATGAAATTTAAATTTGCAACAAGAAATCGTGAAGAGAACTGCAATTAAAAATTAATATTTATCGTGATGTGACTTTCTACTCTATAATCTAGTGTCGGGTTACAATTCAAGCAAGTTGTATCAGATTTCAACTTATAAACTTGCCAAAGAAAGCACGCCTGGGCGGCGTGGCAATATTAATTTAAAGCACAAGAAAATTCGTATCTCTAGACCGACCAATGTGGTTTATATTTATTTAACTGTTAGTATTAAAGTATATCCTGATACTCGAACCAAAAGAATATATTTATTGATGAGATGTGGAATTGGAACGAAATAGCGAGATCTTTTGATTTCCGAAATATCGCCAAACGGCCAAGAGCGCCAACTGTATCGAGATTCTTGATTATAAAGGCCTTATCACAAAACTTAAATCCCGTCAAAAGACTATAAAATTTCCTGCAAGATCTCAACGATCATGGTATATATGTCAAAGTCTAGCTGTCTGTTGAAAATCTACGGTATTACAGTAAAGTCATACATCAAAGATAAGTCAAACGACAATATATTTGTCTTACTGTTTACTATTGTGTTTATACCTCATTTATAAATTTTATAAACAGCTTTCGTTTTGACACAAGCTTTAATTCTCTGCTTTATATATATTCTTAATAATACAAGTGAGATTTAAATTTTTTGCTTTGT